CTGTCAACCATGTTTACCTTTGGGTCACTACTCATAGGTGCAAAAACACACCAGATCACTTTCACCAGACATTCTATCATCCCTGATGTTCCATTGTACCTGTATGGCTCATGTGTCCCTGGATTATACCTGGAGAGGGTTTCGGGGGATGAATGCCCCCACGGCTCAACCTATGACCAGGCCTCATGGTGGATCAGGACCTGATCAACCAGGTTGTTACTGTTGGCTGCACATAAACCAACATACAAACCACAGCCCAGCTGATCAGGTACTGACTTTAGGTGCCTGCCCTTCTTGAAGACAACCAGTGGTCTATTGATAATTCCTCTTATTTATGCACGTATGTATCCCTGAATGTGATACGGTCAGATTTCTCAGCCTGTTTGATCGCTGGTTGTATTGAAAACCTCACATTACTTCCCTGAAGTCAACTTGCCATAGCCAGCTGAACCTCTTTAAGACCCTCATCCATCTTTCATGGGGATGGATTGCCAAACTCTCCTTTTGCTTTATTCAGCCCTAATTTTATCGAAACTGGAGTATGGTGACCAGATATATTCAGCAGCTTCTCCTCCAACTCTTAATAAACTTGATCCCATCCATCATCAGGGATTATGTTTATGTCCGAGTGCTTTTTGCTCCTCACCAGTCAGGAGCCAATATGCATTATTCATTCATTCATTAGGGATTTGCCGGTACTTCCGGCCCGGGTCTTCTCCAAATGGCGACCTGGCGGTGGCCCCCGGGTTGGAGGTGTCTTTCATCTTCTTCTTTCTTCTGTCTTTTTTCTTGGGCCCTCCGGCTGGAGGGTTGCCAATATGCATAGGTGAATGTTCCATCCTTGAATGATTGTCGTGATGCTCATTGCCTCTGCTATTTTGTCCACTCATGACCTTCACGATCCTTCTATATACAGGATAGTAACAAACTTTACTATCCTTTATATGAACGTTTCTCGTTCTCTGTTTCTTAATCACTTATGGTTTCATTCTCATACTGTTGCAATATACACTGATAGTTCTAAATCCTCTGATGGTGTCGGGTTTGATTTGGTGTTCCCGGACAACATAGTGCAAGGACATTAGACTTGGCTAGCATTTTTACAGCTGAATTGTGTGCAATTCTCATTGCAATTATCCGTACTGCATCTGTGCCCACCTCAAGATTTGTAATCGTCTTAGACTCCTTTAGTGTTTTCCGAGCTATTAAAAAATTTGATTGACCTCATGACCTAGTTCTTCATATACAACTTTGGTTGTGCCTCATTACTAGCAAAAGCAAAGAAATAGTTTTCTGTTAGGTCATGTTGATGTCTAGGCCATTGAGCAGGCCAACTCTACTGTGTGGTCTGCAGTACATGACCTCCCATTTTCATAGAGGTATTCCAATCTCAGACTATTTTGCTGTAATCTTGAACCACCTTTGCAACCATTGACAAGAACATTGGTCCGATGTGCTTCATAACAAATTACGTTTTATCAAACCAAGTTTAGGTTTCTGGCCTTCTTGTCATTGATGCTGAGGTTGGGAGACAACACTCTCCCGTCTTTGCATCGGGCACATCTGTCTCACTCATGGGTAATGCTCTGCTCCACTGTGAGAATTGTCTAGTTCCAATTTCAGTTTCCCATACAGTGGTACCCCGCTTTTCGTAGTTCCCGGCAATCGTAAAATTCGCCAATCATAGGGGTATTTTCGTATAAACATGGACTCGCTTTTCATAGGTTGACTCGCGAGTCATAGTTTGTCCGGGACGCATACCCATGGTGTGAGCCAGGGCGGCAGCCAGTCTGGCATTGTTTACCAGTGAGCGAAGGTCCCCTCACGTGCTCCAGCGAAATATTTCATAATATTCCATTTATTTTAGTGCTTGCAAGTACTAAATAAGCTACCATGGCTCCAAAGAAAGCTCCTGGTGCCAAGCCTGTGGTAAAGAAGGTGAGAAATACTATTGAATTTAAGAAAACCATCATTGAACAATATGAAAGTGGTACAAGTGTGGCCGAACTGTCCAGGATGTATAAGAAACCCTACACAACCTTATGTTCCATAGTGGCCAAGAAAAATGAAATCAAGGACGCTGTTGTTGCAAAGGGAGTAACTATGCTGACAAAAATGAGATCACCAGTACTGGAAGAGGTTGAGAAGTTATTATTGGTGTGGATAAATGAGAAACAATTAGCAGGAGATACTCTTATGACTTCATTTATTGGTGAAAAGGCTAGGCAGTTGCATGAAGATTTAGTAAAGAAATTGCCTGCAAATAGTGGTGAAGTGAGTGAATTTAAGGCCAGCAAAGGCTGGTTTGAGAGATTTAAGAACCGTACTGGCATACACAGTCTGGTAAGGCATGGTGAGGCTGCCAGTTCGGACCACAAGGCGGCTGAAAAATATGTGCATGAATTCCAAGAGTACATAGAGGCTGAAGGACTGAAACCTGAACAAGTGTTCAATTGTGACGAAACAGGCCTCTTTTGGAAGAAAATGCCAAAGAGGACCTACATTACACAAGAGGAAAAGGCAATGCCAGGACACAAGCCTGTGAAAGACAGGCTGACGCTAATGTTCTGTGCTAATGCTAGTGGGGATTTCAAAGTGAAGCCATTACTAGTGTACCATTCTGAAAATCCCAGAGTGTTCAGGAAAAACAATGTTATGAAGAGTAAATTGTGTGTGTTTTGGAAATCTAATAGTAAGGCATGGTCACGAGGGAAATTTTCGTCGAGTGGTTCAATGAAGTGTTTGGCCCTAGTGTGAAGGAGTATCTCCTGGAAAAGAAATTGGATCTCAAGTGCCTGCTAGTAATGGACAATGCACCTGCTCATCCTCCAAACTTGGATGACCTAATTTTCGAGGAGTTTGGGTTCATCACAGTAAAGTTCTTGCCCCTGAATACCACTCCTCTCCTCCAACCCATGGACCAGCAGGTTATTGCAAACTTTAAAAAACTCTACACAAAAGCAATGTTTCACAGGTGCTTGACTGTGACCACAGACACTCACTTGACCCTAAGGGAATTTTGGAGAGAACACTTCAGCATCCTCCATTGCATAACCCTTACAGGTATGGCTTGGGAGGGAGTGACTACCAGGACTTTGAACTCTGCCTGGAGAAAATTGTGGCCAGACTGTGTCGACAAGAGGGATTTTGAAGGATTTGGGACTGACCCTAATGAGCCTATGTCTGTTGTAAAATCAATTGTGGCACTGTGGAGTTCCATGGGGTTGGATGTGAGTTTGGAGGATGTGGAAGAATTGGTGGAAGACCACAATGAAGAGCTCACCACTGAGGAGCTGCAAGAGCTCCAGCAGGAAGAGCAACAGATCGCAGCTCAGAATCTTGCTGCAGAGGAGGAGGAAGAGAGATGGAAGAAGGTGCCTTCTTCAGAAATTAAAAAGATTTTTACTATGTGGGGTAAGATGGAAAGCTTTATGCAGAAACATCACCCTAATAAGGTTGTTGCAAGCCAGGTTGGCAACATGTACAGTGACAAAGTCTTGGGCCATTTTAGGGAAGTGTTAAAGAGACGCCAGAAACAGAGCTCTCTCCACAGTTATTTTGTGAGACAGGACTCCAGTGACTCTCAAGGTGGTCCTAGTGGCATTAAGAAACAGAGAAGAGAAGCAACCCCAGAAAAGCAAATGGTACCTGAGGTGTTGCTGGAAGGGGATTCCCCTTCCAAACTATAAACAATCCACTCTCTCCTCCTCCAGTCTCCCATACACTAAGAAGAATCTCCAATAAAGGTAAGTGTTATGCTGTTAATGTTTCATTCATCATTTCCCATTGTATTATTTATGTACTACATGTATATTTCATGTTAAAATTTTTTTTGTTTTAATACTTCTGGGTGTCAGGAACGGATTAATTGTATTTACATTATTTCTTATGGGGAAAATTGATTCGTAAATCGTAAATTTCGTTTATAGTAACGGCTCCAGGAACGGATTAATTACGAACGAGGGACCACTGTATTCTATTGGACCGTCCTGTCTGTCGACACACACGCAGAATTTTCCTCCGTCGTCGTCACTGCTGAGTCAATAACCAGCTTCCACAAGGTCTGGGGAGGTGTGAGGAGTGCTACTGAGCCAATAACCAGCTTCCACAAGGTCTGGGGAGGTGTGAGGAGTGCTACTGAGCCAATAACCAGCTTCCACAAGGTCAGGAGAGGTGTGAGGAGTGCTACTGAGCCAATAACCAGCTTCCCCAAGGTCTGGGGAGGTGTGAGGAGTGCTACTGAGCCAATAACCAGCTTCCACAAGGTCTGGGGAGGTGTGAGGAGTGCTACTGAATCAATAACCAGCTTCCACAAGGTCAGGGGAGGTGTGAGGAGTGCTACTGAGTCAATAACCAGCTTCCCCAAGGTCTGGGGAGGTGTGAGGAGTGCTACTGAGTCAATAACCAGCTTCCCCAAGGTCTGGGGAGGTGTGAGGAGTGCTACTGAGCCAATAACCAGCTTCCCCAAGGTCTGGGGAGGTGTGAGGAGTGCTACTGAGCCAATAACCAGCTTCCACAAGGTCTGGGGAGGTGTGAGGAGTGCTACTGAATCAATAACCAGCTTCCCCAAGGCCTGGGGAGGTGTGAGGAGTTCTAACCTCTTTATCTCATGTTATTCCCTCTATATGTTGCTGAAATAATTAGTAATAAAGTTAACAGGGATGTAACCCAACATGAACTGTCAGATTATTATTATAATCAAGGGGGAAGCGCTAAACCCGGAGGATTATACAGCGCCTGGGGGGGGGGATGTGGAAGGCATTCAGGCTTAATTCGGGGAACTGGAGCTCAGATCCAATTCCCTAAATCAAGAGCCCCTCACCAACATCAAGGAACCTTCCTTGAGGGGATGAACTGTCAGAATCCACTGTTCTTTCTTGTCAGAGGTCATTAGTAATCTTCATTTATAATTTATTGATTATTTATATTACATGATATACCACTATATTAATCAATTTAAAAAATCATCTTTATTTAATATTCTCCGTCTTCCTCAACAGAACACAAGAAATTGCCAGCATATACGTGGACCTACAAACCCCCAGAAGACGACGACGAAGAGCCACCTAAATCTAAGTTATAAGACTTGACGACTTCTCACATTTAGTATATACAGAGTAACTAGTGATTTAAATGTAAATATTGTTGTATTAATCATGGGAAGAATTTGAGATCATGTAGCATCTGGGGAATGGAAGGTGTTTACGAGTCATTTAAAGGGCGGATAAATCGAATTCCTTCATTTTGACTGGAGGAATTGGATTTATCTGCCCTTGGAAAACAAACTTGCATGGAAATGCTTCTCATTGTTTGTTTTAAATTATATTCATGATGAAATGCTGAAATGATAGTATGTGAACATGTATATTCTGCATGTACAATGTTTACACTCTGAAAGAGAGGTGTTGATGTTGCAGTTTTATAAATACAGTGGACCCCCAGTTTACGATATTTTTTCATTCCAGAAGTATGTTCAGGTGCCAGTACTGAACAAATTTGTTCCCATAAGGAATATTGTGAAGTAGATTAGTCCATTTCAGACCCCCAAACATACACGTACAAACGCACTTACATAATTGGTCGCATTGGGAGGTGATGGTTAAGCGGGGGTCCACTGCATATTGTAAGAGCGCCTCTGGCAAGACAGTGATGGAGTGAATGATTTTAGGATCTGCATGAGGCTGTCATCTGCTGAGGACGCGGTTAACCTCCAAGAAGATATAAACAAAGTTTTCCAGTGGGCAAAGGTAAACAATATGATGTTCAATGAGGACAAAAAATTAAGTTTTTCTTTTTTGGGCCTCCCTGCCTTGGTGGGAGACGGACGATGTGTTAATAATAATAATAAATAATGTGCAATCCATTGTATTTACTAAACTTGCAATTATTTTTCTATTAGTTACGTGTTCAGACATTAACAAATGTGATGAGAACATTTTCAAAGGTTTTCGTAAGGGTTTTTTATGTATAAGAATGTACAGTGGACCCCCGGTTAACGATATTTTTTCACTCCATAAGTATGTTCAGGTGCCAGTACTGACCGAATTTATTCCCATAAGAAATATTGTGAAGTAGATTAGTCCATTTCAGATCCCCAAACATACACGTACAAACGCACTTACATAAATACACTTACATAATTGGTCCCATTTGGAGGTAATCGTTATGCGGGGGTCCACTGTATTAACAAAATGTGTTAAGGTCATATTAGCACACTTATCTTTCTTGAAAACATATCAGTTTAAATAGCAATTTGTGAATAAATCATTAACGTAAAAACAAATACATTTATACAAATTTGGAAATATTGATTTTGTTTGTCAGAGTGGTAAATGTTTTACTAAAAATGATCTCTTATTCAACCTTTATTTCAACGTTATTACCTTGGTGGTTTAACGTTTTGTATTGATTATAATAATCAGTATTCTCAGTTATATTGGGAATAATAATGTGGGTAATGTTTGTTCTTCCATTAAACCTTTCAGGGTCCATGCCGTAGATCTACGGCTTTATGTTCAGGGTCCAAACTGTAGACCTACGCCATGAGCTCAGCTCACTCTGATAAGCTGTGAGTGGTAAATTTGGGCCTAGATATGAGAGAATACATCTATGGTATGTATTCACCACATAAAACAAATCCTGCAGCACACAGTGCATAATGAGAGAAAAAAAACTGAGACCGTGATTTTTTATTAAAACCGACTTTGCAGTGTTTTTTCATATGTTTTTTATAGTTGTATTTGCCATTTCTTGGTCTCAATTGATAGAATGGAAGATATATTACAGAAATAGAGATGATTTTGATTGGTTTTAGTACTGGAAATAGCTTGAAACTGAGCTCAAAGTAGCGGAAATGTTAAATTTTTGTCGATGTTCAAGAGTAAACAAACGACCTCACACGTCTAATACACGCCAGCTGGTGGGTCTAATATACATTCACAAATGTGGTGATGATATTTATACAATTATTACAATATTGCATGACAGTAAATCTTCTATTTTTTGGTTTGAATAAAAATTCATTATGTGAATAAAAAATTAAAATGGAATTCATTTGTAAAGACTGAAAACATAACTAATGAACAGAAGAAATGTTAGTTTAGTGCCAGGAATGTCTGCATTGTTTATTCTGGATCCTATTTTGAAATTGGAATATTTTGAACTTTGTGTTAAATTGGCCAAATTACCAATTTTCGATCACTTTATTTTGTAGTTGAAACAGTTGACTTGGTGATTTCTTGCACTCAATCGATAGAATAGAAGTAATACTAGTGAAAAAGCTGAGAACTTGATTGACTGGAATAATGTAATTGGCCTAAAATGGGAGTCAAACTCGGCAAAATCACCAATTCGTAAATATCGCTGACACATCAAAATTCACGAGAGCATAATTTCATCAATTTTCCATCAAATTTCGTACTTTTTGTTTTATTACCTTCAGAAAAAGATTCTCTACCATTTCACAAGAAAAAATAATTTTTTTTTTTTAAATTCTTGGACACTGGTGCACACTTTGAAATTTGGCCTCTGGACCCTGAAAGGGTTAAAGTTGATATTAATAGTGTATGTGGACTGGAAAAACACAGCTCACTACAGTGGTATACAGTTTGCTCTCTCTGTCTCTCCCCTTCCCATGCATTCTGTATCTCGGATGTTGCATTCTTGATCTCTTTTCTGCTGCCACCCATCTTGTTAGGTGATTTTAATGCTCATCATCTTCGGGAGGGTCCCACTGTGACTCTCATGGCAATCAGTTGGAGGCTTCTCACTTCTCATCCTCTTCATGTTTTAAGTCTGGCTGCTCCCACCTATTTTGGCTCTCATTCAATCTCACTTTTTGCATCGATCTTTCTATCTGCTCCTCATCAATCACACTTAATTACACTTGGTCTGTTCTCCTGGAGTTGCACAACAGTGATCACTTTCTTATTATTCTTCTACGTATTCCCGACTGCCTCGTAGCTCCCGTTGACAATTTGGAGGAACAAATTGGGACTTATACTCTCATCTCACTGCTTTTTGTGGGGACTTTTCTCTGTCCTCTATTGATGAGCTGGTGCACCAGTTTTCAACCTTAGTTTTGACTGTAGCATCATGTTCTATTCCTCAAAACTCAGGCAGGCATTTTCAGACATGTGTGCTTTGGTGGTCTCCGGCATGTGCCCGTGCAGTGTGTTTGAAACGTGCTGTGAGGGGTCGTTATCGATATAATTAGACCTCAGATCATCTTATGGATTTTAAATGGGCAGTCACTCACCGTGCCATACGTGATGCTAAATGCACTTATTGGCAAGACTACGTTTGTACTGTTACCTCGACTTCCCCTATGTATGCAGTATGGAAGTTGTGTGGCAAGTACACTCCAGACCCAGCTCCTGTTTTGCGGGATGCTGATGTTAGTGTTGTGGAACCTCTCGAATTTGCCATGTAAATCGGGAACTATCTTATCTGTGTCTCCCAAGGGCTTCACCTCTATCCCTTGTGTCTCGCTTCTAAGTCAGCCATGGAGCAATTGCCCTTGGATTTCTCTTCTAATGGGATGGAGCCATATAATGTATCTTTTACTCTCTTAGAGCTAGAGTCCACGCTTTCCACTTGCTGGTCATCGGTAGCTGGGCCCAATGATATTCATATCCATATGCTACAACATTTTGCATCTTTTCAATCTTATTTTGATGCAAGGAGTTCTCCCTCAACAATGGAAATCTGCCATTGTACTACTGTTTCACAAACCAGGCACCTCGGGGCTTGATACCTCTCACTATCATCCCATTGCTCTGACCAGTATAGTCTACAAGGCGATGGAACAATTGGTGAACAGACGTCTGATATGGTATTTAGAGACTCGCAATAGACCTAGCAGTCTTGTTTTTATATCGAGAAGGCAAATGACACCACTTGGAGGTATAACACCTTAACCCAGACCCACTCCTTGGGCCTCTGAGATAATCTACCAACCTTCCTTGCTGCTTTCTTATCTGAAAGACATTTTTGTGTTCACGTTGGTGCCTCACTTTCCTCAGACTTTGTTCAGGCCAAAGAGGTCCCACAAGATTGTGTCCTTAGCATTACCCTTTGGTAGTCACTTTATGTGAATGACTTCGCTATAGCTTACACAGGCACTGTCTGTCGCTTTGTAGCAGCCTTCCTTCAGGATGCGATTGACAGTGTTTCCCATTGGATCACTTCTCATGGATTTAAATTTTCTAGTATGAAAGCCCATTTCATTACCTTCACTAGACATCCTCTTGTCCCAGACATTTCATTGTATTTACATGGCTCATGTATCTCAGAATGTGATATGGTCAGGTTTCTTGGACTTCACAATGAGGCAGCCATTAATAACTTCACAACAGCAGTAACAAACATTGACTGGCACACTGAGCTAGAAATCTATACAGATATTGACGAATGTTTTAATAATTTTCTAAAAAAGACCCAATACCTTTATAACAAGCACTGCCCTAAAAAAACTAAACAGATGACAGCTAAGAGACTGAACAGTCCCTGGCTAACACCCAGCATTCTCAAATCCATAAATACAAAACACCGATATGAAAAACAGTACAGAATGGGTCACATAACCAGAGACCAAACAAAACGTTACTCGTCAATCCTAACCAGCCTGATAAGAAGGGCAAAAAATTGTATTATGAGAACAGATTATCCAACTTACGAGGTGATATAAAAAAGACCTGGAAGACCTATCAGAAATTCTGGGAACAAAAAAGATATCACGACATAGCGAAATAAAATTAGCAAAATCAGATGAACCCCAACTCCCACCAACAGAAACAGCAAACAGACTCAATGATTTCTTCTCCACTATAGGTCAAAACCTTGCCAATAATATCCCAAGCTCAGATACCCCACCAAATGACTACCTCACCGGCAACTACCCGAACACACTGTTCCTAGCTCCGACTAACCCATACGAAGTCTCCCTTATTATCAACGCACTGAAAAACAAGGCAGGAGATTTAAATACCTTACCACCCTTTATATACAAAAAAGCGTCACAAGTACTATCACCAATCATTGCAACACTCTTTAACAAATCCATTGAATCCTCCACCTTCCCTACAGTTCTCAAAATAGCAAGGGTCACCCCGATCCATAAAGGAGGAGACCAAACAGAGTTGAATAACTATAGGCCAATATCCAATTTACACCCTCTCAAAAATCTTCGAAAAATTAATTCATAAACGAATCTACTCCTACCTCATCTCCCAAAACATTCTCAACCCCTGCCAATTTGGATTCAGGCCTAATAAATATACTAATGATGCTATTATACACATGCTAGAACATATATACACTGCAATAGAGAAAAAAAGAAGTCCCACTGGGGATCTTCATTGACTTACGTAAAGCTTTTGATACAGTTGACCATGACTTGCTCCACGTAAAATTGTCACACTATGGTATAAGAGGGCACTCCCTCAACTACCTCAAGTCTTACCTCAGCAACAGAAGCCAATATGTGTACGCAAATGGGGCAAGCTCTTCCGCACAACCAATTACAGTTGGTGTCCCACAGGGAAGTGTCCTAGGCCCTCTTCTCTTTCTCCTATACATAAATGACCTACCAAATGCTTCGCAATTACTCAAACCCACACTTTTTGCAGATGACACTACATACGTCTTCTCTCACCCGAGCCCAGTCACGCTAGCCAATACTGTAAACACCGAATTACAGAAAATATCTACCTGGATGAGGACTAACAAATTTACACTGAACATTGACAAAACCTACTTCATTCAGTTTGGTAACAGAGCTACAGATGTACCTCTTAACATAACAATAAATGGATCACCTATCACAAAGCTAACAGAGGGAAAATTCCTAGGAATCCACCTCGATAATAGACTCAAATTTCATACACATATACAACATTTCTAAGAAAATCTCCAAGACTGTAGGCATACTATCGAAGATACGGTACTATGTTCCACAGTCAGCCCTCCTGGCCCTCTATCACTCTCTTATTTACCCCTATCTTACCTATGGAATTTGTGCATGGGGCTCAACAACAATTAACCATCTCAGACCACTAATTACCCAACAAAAGGCTGCAGTTAGAATGATAACAAATTCTCACTACAGGCAACACACTCCACCAATATTCAAAACACTCAACCTACTCACCATACAAAACATCCATACTTATTATTGCACCTATTACATACATAGAACACTTAACTCTGATATTAACCCTCCCCTCAAACATCTCCTTGCCAACCTCAACAGAACACATGACCATAACACAAGGCACAGATCACTCTTTGATGTTCCTCGTGTCCATCTCACGCTATGCAAAACTCAATGCACATAAAAGGCCCTAAAATCTGGAATTCATTACCTGTAAATATAAAAGAAACACTACCTGTTTATAAATTCAAGTCTCTTCTCAAAGATCACTTACTCACTCAAAACCAAATAAATACTGAATAACTGAACCTTATAAATTGTATATCCTATATGTTACTCACAATTATCTCACACAAATGTTAAACCTAGGACCCAATCTAACTTTATTATTTTTTTAAATACACTACCTAACAGAATACTCCATTCGACTGAATGTACAGCAATGCAAGCAACCATATGACCTGTCTTTGTAATACTCATTTGTGCTTGATTATTATCTGTTTACAATAATGTTTTATCACTGATTTCATCATTGCTTAGTTAATCTGAAGTTAATTTTAAGCCAGCCCGTAATGCTATGCATATAAGTGGCTTTGGCATGCTGCTCTTACCTGTATTTTTTGTACCTCTGTTTGTATGCTTAAATTACTAAATAAAAAAAAATAAAAAAAATATATTCGATCGCAGGTTGACATGGAAACCTCACATTTCCTCTTTGAAGGCAGCTTGCCAGTTTTGGATGAACCTTTAAAATTCTTGTGCATCATTCATGGGGAGCAAATCACCACTCTCCCCTTCATTTGCATTCCACCCTAGTCTTGTCTAAGCTGGATTATGGCAACCAAGTCTATTCTCTGGCTTCTAGAACTCTTTATACGTTAGATCCCTTTCATCATCAGGGTCTACTTTGATGCCTTGGTGCCTTTCATTCATTCTGTGTTGAAAGCCTCTATGCTGAGGCGAATGTTCCTTCCTTAGCAGATCGTAATGATGCTCATTGCCTTCGTTACTTTGTCTGCTCTCGTGACCTCCATGTTCCTTTTACGTATAGGTTGGTCTCTGACATTAGTAGAAGCCTGTTATTTGTTTGGCATCCCTGCTTACTCTGACAGTTTTCTCTTCATCTTCACTTACTGTGGTCTTCTCTCCAGTTGCCTCCCTTGTATGTTCATGTAGCGTCTGCCTTTTTCCTTCTCCATTTAGAGGTTCTGACGGTTCATGTCTGTTCTCCCCTACTACAGTGTGCTAAAGCTCTCCTACCTATGGCTGCTTCTCGCTCTCTTTCTTGATCACTTCTGGTCGCATGCGCAACACCTGCCATCGCTGTTTATACAGATGGTTCTAAATCTTCTGATGGTGGTGGGTTTGCAGCTGTGTTCTCTGATATTGTCCGGGGTCATTTGTTAGACTGCCAGTATTTTTACTGCCGAGTTGTATGCAATCTTCATAGTGCTTCTCTGTGTATTACATATATGTCTCCTTTGGCATTCGTGATCATTTCGGAGTTCCTCAGCACTTTACATGCCATTAAATAATTTGATTTCCCTCATCCATTGGTTCTTTGTATTCAACTTTGGTTGTGCCGTGTGGCTAGCAAAAACAAAGACGTCATTTTCTGTTGGGTCCCTGAACACAATGTTCGGGGCAATGAACAGGCGGATGCTGCTGCGTGGTCAGCAGTACGTGACCTTCCGGTTTCCTATAGAGGTATTCCGTTCAGGGATTATTTTGCAGTTATCGCTGCCTGTCTTCACAGCCATTGGCAACTACAGTGGTCAGGCATGCACCATAACAGATTGCACTATTAAACTGCTTTTAGGTGTCTGGCCATCTTCTTACCATGATTGCTGTTCCCAGGAGACTGCGCCCTCATGTTTCCGCATCAGCCATACACGCCTTACCTATGGAACGACACCCTATTCCTCACTGTGAGACTTGTCAGGTCCCTATTTTGGTTCTTCACTTTCTTGTGGATTGTCTGGTTTCCCAGTGAGCTCACAGGATTTACCTCTGACACTGCCACCCTACAACTCTTGCCTTATCTTCCTTTCTTGCAGACAGCCCTACCTTTCACTTCAAATCACTTTTTGACCTTTTGTCAGCAACTGCTTAACTATACTAGCGTCCCTTCCAGTCTCTTTCTCCCCTCATCTCTGATCCCCTCTCCACTTAGCTGTCTATAGCCCCTACACTATTTTCTGCCCCACAGTGCTGTATGAACCTTGTTGATTATAATAATACTGGGCTTCTACCCTTCAGACAGAACTGTTTGTCGTACTCCTTGCTCTCCAATGCATCTATGTGTCTAAGGTTGACACTTTAAATGTAACTTATTCTCTATCATCCATAAATACTCTCAATTCATACATACTCTCAACTACCATACCAGACACAGGTATGGGAGGATTGTGTCATGCTTGTGTCAGAAGCCAGACACAGGTATGGTAAGATTGTGTCATGCTTGTGTCAGAAGCCAGACACAGGTATGGTAAGATTGTGTCATGCTTGTGTCAGAAGCCAGACACAGGTATGGTAGGATTGTGGACAGTGGAGTCAGAGTGCACATGCTGTGGATTCCATCTCACATTGGTCTTCAGATGCATAATAGAACTGATGAACTGGTGGAGTAGATTACAATCCTGGGTTGTCAGTTAGCAGTTTGAGAACAATAATACAAAAAGAACTTCAACTGAATTTTATTGACTTAAGACTTATGGAGATTGAAACTGCTCAGTCCATCTATCATCATTCCATCATGCAGGAGGAGCCACATGTCTATGGTGCATCCAACAAGATAAGCAGACTCTTGGATGTCACTACTGCCCGGCTCCGGCTGTCACTACCGCCCGGCTCCGGCTGGGTTACAAGTATCTTTGGCAGGTTAAATCACCACCACCAGATGTAGACCAAACGAAATGTAAACTTTGCCAGATGGACTATTGTCACACCTTGCGTCATTATGTACTGGAGTGTGATCAAATTAATGAATGTAGAGACAACTATGTCTAGCCCTTATACAATGTCATATGGAATACACTTTCTCTCCATGGTACTCTGCCTTGACCAAAAAAAAAAAAAAAAAAAAAACGAAAGATTACAAATCACCCAGAACAAAATGTGTACGTGTGTGTGTGTCCCAATTAATATTTGCACTAATAACTCGTTACAGTTGTGACTGGGTGTGGACGTGTGAATTGTTCATGATTATAACCATGCATAGACGTGTAGATAATTCATTACCTTTTGTAACTTGCAATGACTGTGACCAGATCTACCTGGAGTTCATTACCTTTGCAACTAGTTCAGCTATCATAACTAAGTGATCCAGTCCCTGGACCCATTATGTACCTCTATAATCCTTTGACTACCACCCACAGGATGGGTATGGGGTACTTAATAAACATATTAAACATAGTTACCAGTCAGGTTTCAGATCTTATTCAACCAACACCTCATTAATTTGACGGACTACCCGAGAACTGAAATGCCATAGGAATGGTAACCGTAGACTTCCAAAAGGCCTTTGATACTGTCAACCACAATGTATTATGTAAGATACCACAAGCTACTGGCATGAGTTATGTAGACTTGTAAAAGGCCTACCTGAGCAACAGGAAATAAATTGTCAGGATCAACAATATAGAATCAGAACCCATTCTGATAACGTGGGGTTCCTCAAGGTAGTATCCTGGGTTCTTTCCTTTCTTGAATTATGTGAATGACATACCTATCAGTGTCAAATACAAGCTTCTACTGTATGCAGATGATAGTACTATGATAGTATAAGGTAAAGGCCCATAAGACATTGCTAATGTACTATCACTAGAGTCCTGTAACAAATGGTTGGTAGATAACAAATTATCACTACACCTCGGGAAAACAGAAACCATACTCTTTGGCACGAAACAACTTTAAGAGGGTAAATAATTTTAATATCCAGTGTAATGCGGAGCTAATTATTACAGTAAATTCAGTGAAATACCTGGGAATTTCATTTGACCCATGAATGTCAGGAGAATTGATAGGGAACA